ATATGGGCTGATTTGGTGGTAGCCTTTGTCAATAGTGGCGTGATATTTTTTATATTACTATTTTTATTATTTGTTCTGTATATATATCACAAGGTCTGTTTTCTTTTCTTTTTTGTTTTACTGGGTCAGCCATATTCTTTAGTTGTGATTGATTAAAACAAATTTGTTCAGTGTTTCAATATTCATTATATACAGAGGCATATCTATATCTATGTGTGCATATTTCACTAATTTTCTGTTTTATGATCATTCTTTTTATTTTTCTGATATTTTCTCAACTTATCATTGTTCTCTTCCTCTATAGATTATTCGTGTGCATTATCTAAGAATAATAATGGTCTGTTACTTCAAGGACGAATGTATATCACTGAGACATGGGTATGCTTTTACTCGAAAATACTCTACGAACAAAAGGTAAGCAGTAAAAGTCTCTGTGATTGTGTGTGTGTGCTTGTAACACACTATCGAACGATATTTTTTTGTGTTGTGTTTTAGAGATATAAAGAGTGAGAGAAAGGCAGAGAGAGTATTTGTGCGTGTGTGTGTTTGGGGTGATTGTGAAGGTGAATCGAAATCATCAGGTGTGATATCAGTTAGAGAGAACCGTAAGAAAACCAGCAGGGAGGTGTAGTCGACAGTTGTTTCAGCTTAGTTTGTGACTAAGCCCCCCCCCCCCACCAGGGTTTGAATGAACCTTGGATCTTACTGGTTAATACGCCCAGTTTTCCTCCAATGGTTCCCTTATTGATGTCAGCTGGTTTATCAAACCTGTAACTGATTGGATCTGATGTGCTCACTAGTGATCACCTCACCGAGTCTATGTAAGAAGTCATCTGGAGTTCTAGTGAAAAGTCGTTGTCCACTGGCCGGCGTCCACCAATTCAATTCAAGTGGGAGGACATTTAGTCGCCGATGATACTGACTGACTGGTGGTTGCGCTATGTATATTATGATAAAGATATAATGGAGAAGATTTGTAGCTCAGGTGGATGATTTTGGTGTGGTTGTGTTCTCTGAGCTGGATGGTTTGGTTGCGAAGCTTTCATTGCTCTACTGAGCAACATCTTCAGCGCATACTTCGATGTGAAGTGAGCTTTTAGAATTCTCTATGAGTTTATTAGTCATCTCTTCTAGTAACCTTGAACGTGATTGGTTGTTTTCGTGTGACATTTCATCCCCTAGTTTCCTTGTCTCGGTGCTGGCTGCTTCTTTGGTCTGAAAACACAAAGAAAGTCGTCCTACCATATATAAAAGATATCTCCGAAATCACTGCAAGACTATTCAAACCTTTTGGAATCGATGTCGCTCATAAACCAACAAAGTCACTTCACTCAGTTCTATGTAAACCAAAGGACTCAACGGCAAAAGAAGACAAAACTAACGTCATCTACAAGATAAGTTGCAACGACTGTGACAAACATTACATTGGTCAAAGTGGACGCCCCCTTCGTCTTCGCATTCACGAACACAAACTAGCTGTCAAAAGACACGACATACACTCCCTCATATCACTACATGCAGACAACTACGGGCACCAATTCGACTGGGACAATGTTCAAATCTTAGACAAAGGGAACTGCAAAAATGCCAGAGAATTCCTAGAGGCCTGGTATTCAAATGAATCAGCAATCAATAGACACATAGAGATTGACAAAATATACCAACCCATACGAAGAAATTCACACAAAAACAAAGTCAAACTTCAGGTCAAGGAAACAGTCAACACCAAAACAAGTGAACTAGAAAGTGAGAAGTCACACAAAAACAACCAATCACGTTCAAGGTTAGCAGAAGGAATGACTAACGACATTCAGACCAAAGAAGCAGCCAGCACCGAGACAAGCAAACTAGGGGATGAAATGTCACACGAAAACAACCAATCACGTTCAAGGTTACTAGAAGAGATGACTAATAAACTCATAGAGAATTCTAAAAGCTCACTTCACATCGAAGTATGCGCTGAAGATGTTGCTCAGTAGAGCAATGAAAGCTTCGCAACCAAACCATCCAGCTCAGAGAACACAACCACACCAAAATATTATGATAATAATAATAATTTGCTTTATTCCAAAACAGGACTTGTGATACAGGATGGAATTCTCAGCATCTTTTTCTACTACAGTATTGCATCCAGTTAATACATTATCAATAAATAGAATAGAATTCTACATAGATTAAGGAGATCTCAGTTCATTATAACAACATCATATTGGCATGTCGGTAGCAAGGCCAAAGTTGAACAGAGTGTTTGAAGGTGTTAGAAATGTAAGTGCTATCATATTTACTGGCGTAAGCGGAAGAAAGAAACAAAGCAGCACATAACAGAAAGAAAAAGAAAGAAAGAAAATGTTGTACCTATAAATGATATGAGTTGGAAAGACGAGATCCAGTTGTTCTACTGACTATTTAGTGAATTATAGGTGTCACGCCTAATGCTTCCTTTATCACACAGAACACGAGCCAAGTAGGGTATGGTTGAGTTTTTGTACTTGCTGGTGGTGCGAGCATATAGTTTTCTATATAGGCTTCTGGTTTTGCCTGATGAGATGCAAGGGGAGAGTTGTGAGTGAAGAGGGTGGTGTGAGTTAGATAAATGGATTTGGCCCATTTTTCACATGAGTCCAAGTGCCTGTCTGTCGACCAGAATATTAACAAGCTGGTTAAGTGGCACGTTGCTTACCCTGGTGACAACCTTTAACATCCTGCGTAATATATATATATATATATATGTCGTGAGTCGTCAGATGTTGGAATTCGTAGGCTTGTTGGGCGAGTTCTTAGTGGCTGGAATGGTTTATGAGTTTGCCTTGTGACGACCAGAAGGTCCTGGATTTGAACCCTAGTGGGGGAGGGGGTTTGTACTGCTGAGGAGTTTGCCAAACTCTGGAAGAAACAGCCGTCTAGTAATTCCAAAGTGTTTCACTTAAATCTCTCACTTATGTCAGGTCATTATCAAACCTGCAGTCAATCTGATCTTTGCAAATCAACCCTTGTAAACAAAAAGACACAGTTTGTCCCATATTAGATGAGTTTATGTAATATAATGCACACGGTGATACAGTACATATATCGAGCATAACTTATTCCTGTTCAGAATCTCATCTAAGTATGCATTCACACGGTTGGATAACTTGGTTTATTTTTAGCGTTACTCTCTCTCTCCTGTCTCTACCTAATCATGTTACTTTCCTATATTTTTGCCCCATCCTACCCCATTATACGCTTACTTTACTTTACTTCGGCTATCTCCTACGGGAGGATGAGCTGGCTTCATGAACATCTCGAATCATCGCTGCCCAGGCGCGGCGATCTGATGCAAGGTTTTGCGACAGGGTTATCCAATTCTTGTTCCACAGACGGAGTCCGTAGACGGTTCGTAGCCCCAGGCACTCCATATCAGCCTTGACTGTACCAAGCCATGTAAGAGAGTTCATGAAGTTTCATGGGAATTTGGTACGAGTGATGTCCCCAGAATCGCTCGGCCTTTTGTTCGAGAGTGCAGCTCTAGCCTTTACACAACCAAGTGTGACCTACAAGGCAGTAGGAGTGGAGTAGGGAGTCCACTATCCATTGGCAGCCGGTGACCGGAGTTCGGTCCATACGCCTTTTTGAATGGGGCCAGACATCCAGGACATCCAACAAGTCCTTTGTCCATACGTCTGCCGGTGAGCTCCAGTGAGCTTCATACGCCAGTCGTTGGAGGTTTGGAATCAGGGTTTAGCCATCTCCCCTAGACTGTCATCCAATGGACAGTCAACCCGGTGAAGAGCGCCGGGCATCCGCTTTCGCCCTCTTACTTTGGTGAAAAACACCTCCGCCACGTGAAGGCAGTGAGTAGGACTTCCTCAGTAGAGGCCTATGTAAGACGCCCGGTCATATGGGAGCATTTCAAGAGATGTGCGGAGAGGTGGCCAACCCGCAGCACAATGCACGCACCCCCGACCATCCTGAGGCTTTGGAGGTGACATGCAGGTGAATACATCTCAATGGATGAGTTTTTCGTGGATTACTTAACTTGGAGGGGTCAATCGCTCTAGCTACAGTTTAATTTTTATGCTCTGATAATCTAATTGATCCTGATCTACTAGATTGATCTGTGTTATTGATCCTACAATAATTACATTAAATATATATATATATTTATGGCTTATATTATGCCGTCTGGTGGTAGTATTTAGGACGACAATGCTCTATTCTGTGAGTGAGCTGATTGGCTTAAATGCTATCTTGATCAATTCTTTCTAGGGGAGACTTCGGTTTGGAATAGCGTAATTCTTTAAACCCTGTTTAAAGATTTCACTTTTGATCGTGGATTGATATCGCAGTTGGAGAGCCATTTGGAAAAAGAAAACCATCAGGTAGTATTGAACAGGTGGTTCGTTCGTCAGCCTAGTCTGACACTCGAATAGCCAGCATGCACCCATCGCCAGTCTTCGAATCGGTTCACAAGGCGAACTCTCCTAGACCCGATGAATTATAACTACCACCTACCGATTTGTGATTTTAGCGTGAGTTCCACCAGCCAATGTTATAAACATGCTGCTGCTGCTGCTGCTGGATTCAATATAGAACTTGGCACCGAAGTGCAGCAGTTCGAGTTGCCACGTTACAAAGAGCACACAAAGGTAGACAGGAAAATGAGTGAAGAGAATCAATAGAATTTAGATAAGTATAAGAGTGAAACAGAATGAGTAATGGTAGAAAAGAATATGAAGGTTAAAGAGACTGAATACATCTGCGCCATTGATAACGATTTTGAGCCATGTCACCTATTGTCTCCAGCCATTGATTCTTAGAGTCCCGAGGGTGGGCCCCAACCCGGAAGTCTGCATCTCCCTCCCTACCTGACTCAGTTTAACTGTCAAGGATTTCATGGATTGATGAGGCCATGTTTTTGTTTGGCCACCGCTTACTCTTTTCCAACCTGCACCTACCTATATCAGCTAGTAATGCCCGTCCGTCGGGAGAGGTGATGGTTAGGCATGCGCAGCACGTCACCTAGCCATCTCAATCTATGTAACTTTATAGCCTCTTCAATTGATTTTCCCTCTTTGCCCAACACTACGCCTAACGTCAACATTACTTACCTTATTATGCCAACTTACGTGAGAGAGAGATCGTAGACATCTATGATCAAAAACAGTCAACCCTTTCATGTCTTCAGCTCGTATTGGCAATGTTTCAGAGCCATAGAGAAGGACGGAGCAAACTGCTGAGCAGTACATTTGTCCCTTGATTGATAGCCGGATGTCACGCCTACGCCAGAGATGGTGTAAGTTAGCGAAAGCAGCTCGCGCTTTTTGGATCCGTGCTGAGATTTCGTCACCAATCAATCCGTTGGTGCTGATACAACTTCCCAAATAGGTGAAGTGGTTGGGGTGGGGGTGAGTATTTGTCCTCATTCTCCCACCGACCGGGTGTGTACCCCCACACACTGGTCAGGATTTCTCACGAGAACTTCAGGCATTTTCATCTTACAGACAGTCATTACTGGGTATCAGATTGTTTTAATTTTATATAATCAATAAGTGATGACTTGTTTTTTTTAAACCTTAATTCGATCAACTGAGAAACTGACCTCTTTTTTCTTTTTGTTTTGTTGAACTCAATACTATTTATTTTGTAATGCGAATGTAATGATAGTTGTGTGATATGATTTGGATATCAAAATTTGACCTTAATCGTATATATATAACCAAAGGTGTCCCTATGGAGACCTTAATCGAGGACACGTGTACGAAAAGCTTAATGAATAATACTCTAGGTGTCGCGAGTTTCAACACTTTATCGATTGAGACCTATATTTATCGAACGAGTTTGAAATAGGACAGTTTCACTGCTAGACGACAGTATCAAGAAAATGAAAAGAACAGAAATGTTGAGATGAATTTCGCCGCCGCCCCCACCCCCCCCCCTGCGGTCAGAGAGAGATGATGTAGCTCTTTCAACCATTGGGCCTCAGGTTCGAATCCCGTCACTCACAGTTTAGTCTTAACAAATGAGTAGTATTATCAGCCTTAATAAAAAATGTGTGTTACTCATAGTCTAAAATATGCTAACAGAAGTTGATGGATTCAATCTATTATTATTATTATTTGAATGGGTTCCGAGCGGAACGCAGGGCTTCTGCAGCCGCACATTTCCATTTTATTCTATTCTTTGTATTCTTTGTTAGCTGGCTCCACTAATGTTTATAAACTTTCATTTTCTCCGTCACGTAATATCCTCCATGTTACCCTCGGCTGCGCAACTTGTCATTTCCCATTCGCGGGGGTCTGTCACTCAACGGTCTTCTCGGTGTATATCCACTCCATCTATCTCCATTCTTTCCTTCTGCGTTGCTGTTAAAGAAATAGCTTGTCTCCTAGAGTTCCTTGTTATCTAACCTTTGCTAGCCGACCATCTCATCTTCATTATTCAGCAGAGTTGGGAGCTGTTAATGATAGTCTGCACCAGGCTGTTAGAAATGCTTTTGATAACCTGTGGGCCGATTCTCTGCACTATGATGTTCTTTTCATTGGACACTAGTAACTAGCGTGACGTGTCTAGTCCTTTGTCTGGTGCAGACTGAATTCTATCAGTCAGTCAGGTTTGCAATGTGGCCACCATGCCACTACTAGGTGGCTCGCCATCACAGTGCACATTGATTTGATGATATTAGATAGTTGGAGGCAATTGACAACAGGAAGCCCAGCTTCACTTGGTTTCGTGCTAGTTGGCACTCGTCAGCAAGGTGTATTTGCAACCTTGAAGAAGTTCATGTCCCCTCATGTTCCCCAACCTTCCCTCTTTACTGACCTTACTACTTGCTTAACGGGGTTTAGGAGTGTGTTGGCCAAGGATTGACCCGCGGACTATTTGCACTGTTGGCGAGCGTTCTTTCACTGAACTGCTGGTGAAAAATTCGCGTTATTAACGCGATACTCCAACCGATTGAGCTACAGAGTCGGTTCTGTGCTTTGTATAAAAATAATCACTAACTACCCACGTGGTCTATAGTTCAATCCCCAGCGGACGAACTCCTAAACCCCGCTTATGTCTGTGTCTGTCTGTTTTCGACATAGAAATTTGCACTGATGTGCAGCAGTTCGAGTCGACACATTTCACTCAGCACACAAAGCCAGTGGAGAATGATGCTCGGGGAGGCTTCGTGTGCTTTTGGAAGTGTGTGAATGGTTGTTATTTCCCGGCTGCTAACACCATGGAAGTTGACTGATTCTTCGGGTATCTGAAACAGAAAGAGGGTTAGTGTTGCGTGACCGCAGAGCCCAGGGGACAACTGCTTGTGGCCGGCCGGTCACACACGGCCTGTATGAACTGGTTTTTTGTATTGGTACCGTACTAGTAAACTTACTGCCGGTTACGGATCACCCTAGGGTAAGTCTTGATGTACAGTTTTTGGGGTCGGACCTTTTCTAACCCCCTCTCTCCAGAGTGGAGAAACAGCATAACTGGCATGCTGTCATATCCCTATTCACCAGCAGTACAACTCTGCCCACAGACCCCTAGCATAGTGTAAAAACAAAATTCTTACACAATACCAGTGTGGTGAGAGCTGGCTGCTAGCCAAAGTTGGTAGATAGTAATTGACGTCAATGTTTATGTCCCCAATATTGGTGGTGAGAAAATGAGAACAAAGGCTTTGCGTAGGCGGACACAGTTAGCATATGGATGATCTGGTACAGCCACAAAGAGATGCAAGGTTAACTTTCTGTGAGAAACAACCAATCAAAAGACTGCATTTTCTACTAACAATAATCTACAATAATGTACATTAAAATCTATAAATATATGTTGATTTTCCTTAATAAACGATCTGTTGCCTGACCCTTGTCTTCTGTTGTTACACCAGTAACTGCTTTTAGTCCAATCGGTATCCTAACAACCTTCCTGGCATGTTAGGACCTGCAGAAACAATAGTTCCAACCAGTGTAGCTTGTTGGGTCATTGCGATGTGCAGGCCCGGTGACCACCACGTCAAGGTAGTATCTATCAGTCGGGAAACCCAGCTTAGCCGATGGTAAGTGGGGTAATGAACAAAGGTTGCAAAGTTTGAGGCTGGCGTCACCACCCCGTCAAAAAAACACCACTATCACCTTCACTGAAGGCTCAAAGTTCAAAGCCTAAAGCCCTATGTTGTACTCGCACAACCAATGAACAAAATGAAAAAAAATAATTTTAATAATTTGTAAATATTTTATTTCGTGAAATCTTAATTCTGTTCATGTTGTTTCCGCTCCCCCTCCCGCCGCCGTTCTCCCTTCTATTGACTGACTGACTGGACTAGATATTCTTAGCAGTCAATGAAATTGTTTCTATTACAAAAGAGAAAACAGCCCGTGTTATCCCCAATGCAATACAAATTTTATACTCAAAAAGTCATGAACGGTTTTTCTTCACATCATTCGCTTCAAGAGAAAGAACTTATGCTATACTACGTAAAGTATGGGAGAATTGTCGGAATCATCAGGTAAGCGCATATTACTATTATTATTATTATTATTATGATTATTATTAAAAGATGGTTTTAGTAGTTATATGTGGAGTATGTGTTACCGTGACTGTTGCATTCCTTCATTGATTTCATAGTGAGAGATGGCTTGGAACAAATGTGTGTTGTACCAAGCCCAGTCACCACCGTCTTCTTGTTCTTCGATGAACAGTGTTCGAAGAAAGTTAAAGTGATACCATTGTGGGTAAAATTTTATTTTTTATAAAATCACACAGTGTTGTTATGCCATAATATTAACTGATGACCACCTTTCAAGCACAAACTATTACCACTCATAATCATATCAAATCACTCATACAACTTTCTTACTTCCGTTATATTACTATTATTATTGTTCCCTTGGGTTCCTAATGGAACATAGGGCTTCAACTGCACGCCTCCACTTGCTTCTGTCTTCTGCTGTACTTTTCACCTCCATTCATGTTAGTCCATACTGTTTCAACTCCTCTTCACACGATCTCCTCCATGTCACCCTAGCACTGACGTCCCACTCGTCGCTTCCCTTTCGGGTTCCACTCGAGCGTTGGCCTGACACGCGATGTCACCCACTGGCTTCCTCAGCGAGTTTCCAATCAATCTCCACTTTCTCCTGCATATTTGTTGGGCGATTGCTTCTTGTTTGGTTTCTTCCCATAGTTTCTTGTTGGTTCTTGTTCTTTCCGGTCATCTGATATTCAGTAGTATAGAGTGAAGACAGTTGTTGTTGATAAAGGTCTGCAACAGGCTGTTGGAAATATTCTTTGTGACCCGCCAAGTTTCTGATCCGTAAAGAAGAAGTGACTTGACGTTTGTATTGAAAATCCGAATTTTGTTGTTGATGCAGGCTGAGTGACGAAACTTTATTTATATACATGAGTGAAATTGATGATTAGATATTTGATTGAATAAAATCAATATAAGATGATCATGTACATTCATAAATAATAATATGAGTGTTATCCATTAAATACAGTAAGATGGGAAATAAGACGAGTGTTTTTATAGTCAAAATAAATAAGTAACTTGTTAGAATGTTATTATGTATGTGAATTAAATTGAAATAGAATACAATTTGAGATTATTTATTATCCTCCTCTGATTTCATTGACTGGTGGTAATAATATCTTCCATGCATATCTCTGGTATTTGCATTGAGTCACTTCTATTGCGCATGTATTGGATGTGTAGACTCGATGAACAAGGCAGGATTCGGTAATCACCCACTCCCTTTCTCTCTCTACACCTACCTATATTACTTCTTAGAATTACTTTTAGAAATCTCTTGACTTGACAAGCCAAGCGATGAGAAATAATATTGGAATTATATAAAAGAAGTTAGAAAGTTTTTTTGAGGAGTACCTTGATATGATTATGAGCAGTAATAATAAATTGTGCTCGAGGCGTTGTCATCAGTGCATATTACTGTATAACACCACTGTGAGTCTTTATCAAAATAAAATTTTTACCCATAATGGAATTTTATACTCTACCACGACAGTGCACAAGCGTTTTATTCTTGTATCCGTTCAAAGGATGGTTAAATTGTAAAGCTCTGACATCAATCCATGATATGGGGAGGCATAGATAGACACTGCCTGACTGTTTGGTCTCCTTGAAAGGCTAAGAACCAATGACTGTAGGAGACCGTTAGTAACTGTTAGTATGACTCAAAATTGTTCTCAATGGTGGAGCAAATTCATTCACTGTCTGTCTTTGTAATCTTCTACTAAGTCCATTAAATCCAATCCTCTTGTGTTTCCGTGTAATTTTCTTGTCTCTCTCTCGTTGGAATCTCTTCTTGTTCCACCTTTGTGAGCTTCATGGAGTGTGTAAAGCACTTGGAGTTTATTTTACACTCCTATGCCATGTTCTACGTTGAAAACTTACTCAATTCCTTCAGAATTAATGGTTGTGTTTTTCGTCTTGGAATTACTCTCAGAAGTGGAATACACACTTGCCCGTTTTGAAAAAAATCAAAGTTGGGCGTTTTGTTTTTTCGTTTTTGTTCTGTTTTCAAATGGAAAGATTGAGCAGCGAAGAAATATTTACTTTTCAATTAGATGCTCATCTCACTCTGGCTCTACTCTAATATACACAGAGAGCATTTTTATTACAATACACAACAGTTTACCAATTAATTGGCACTGATATGTTTGTTAACAATAATTAACCAGTGTCAAAATGTCAAACAGTGGGGTGATAATTAACGAAGAAAATAATACACACAATTATAAGGTAGAAATGGTTAGAATAAATTAATTTTACAAGGATAACACGTAATTAAAGATGAAGTAGTCAGAAAAAATAAAATAATTTGGACAATTATAATTTTTAAAGATTTAGGGGGAGGGAGATGAAGTAGTCCTGTTTATGCATTCTTCTAGAGATGGCCACGGTCAGGAAAGTGGTTGTACAAATTTCTTCTGAACACATAGGCTTGGCTTCCTGAGGCGGTTCCCTACGGCTTTAGCTGTATGTAGAAGATGAATTCGTAGAGCAAAATTCAGATTAGTAGGAATGCGATAGATAATTTTAAATGCTGTATTAACATGAACCTTATGCTCAGTATCTACAAGGTGTGCTAAAGTAGAGCCACGAATAGATCTTGTTTGTCCCTTGCTTAACCATGTTGGATGATGTTCGGAAATACGATGATGAACCTGCCTGATTGTACGCCCAATGTAGCTGGTTCCGCAGCTGCAGTCAAACTGGTAGATACACATAGAGGAGGAGGCAAATTTAGGTAGTTTATCCTTATTTCTCGAACGTAGAATAGGGGTGGTTGTGAAGAGACAACGTACCTCTGCTGCATAATAAGCTCTTTTAACTGCATTCTTCAGGCGCTGTGTTATTATTTCGCTGATGTTGTCACCGAGGGACTGCAGTTTTATGAACATTGGTTTTTTCGGAACTGTTGCTATACTGACTCTCCTAGGTGCTAAATTCATATTTTTCTCAATGAATTTATCTGGATAACCATTTTTTTTCAAGTAATTTTCTAATAATCTTAAGCTCTTCATTGAGGCAGTCGTTTGAACAGATTAATCTGGCTCTATGAACCAGATACTTTACTAGGTTACGTTTATATTTCAAATGTACAAAAAATGAGTGTAATGACCTGTTGTTGTAGGTGTTTCCTATACACACTCTTTCTTAGTAGTGTGACATCTTCTTTCCTTGCCATGAAGACGTCTAGGAATGAGATACTGTCATAGTCGAGTTACTACATGTATGTGAGTATACTGAAGACTGGACTGGCTTTCAATTTCCGTTCTACCAAAAGTTGCAGTCTTTTGGACGAGTTAGGATGGACATGTTAATGTGTCTTTCTAGGCTCCGTTTGAACCCATCATGGTTTTCCCAACTTCTAATTTCAGATAGTAGTCGGTTCCAAAAGTTTGCCATAATGGATTTTCTGTGGGTAGTCGTGGATTTGCAGCTGATATGTTTTGATATTTTCCCACGTTATGGATGTGTGTTCGACATGTTGGAAACATGATTGATTGGTTGATTTTCTGTCTAGAAGACTTGCCATTTCTGGGTACCACTGAAGGCAAATAACAAAGAGCTGGTCTTCTGTTATTCGTTGGTATTCATTACATCGAAGAGACTTCTTTCCCCCACTCGGAAACTTCAACCAGTGTCATTCAGTGCTACTGTGAGAGAGAGAGATATCAGTACTGAGAAGTAATTAGTTTTTGGCGTAACGCGCTAGCACTGGATGGGTGGGTGACGTGGATTCCAATTTTTGTGGTGTCAGTTCTCCCTCTTTCTCTTTCTTCCTCTCTGTTTCCGACATGTCTACTGATTAGTGTCGATATGCATTCACTGCATACTGCCTCTGATTATTAAATATAGATTATTCTTACGTAAACTTATTTATGATTATATCTAGCGTAAACGTGATATCCAGCTGTCGATCAGGGGGGGGCGAGTGCACTGCTCAGAAGTTCACTGCATCCTTCTTTATAGCTGTGAGACATGACCAATAAAAGTGGAAGATATGAAAAGGTTGGCTAGCTGTATTTGGTCATAGATGCTTGTGTTCTGTCTCCCGTGTTAGGTGGTGGTATAATATTATTTTTATTATTATTATTGTTCCCTTGCGTTCCTAGTGGAACATAGGGCTTCAACCGCACGTCTTTACTTGCTTCTGTCTTCTGCTGTACTTTTGACTTGCATTCATGTTAATCCATACTGTTTCAACTCCTCTTCACAAGATCTCCTCCATGTCACCCTTACACTGACGTCCCACTCGCCGCTTCTCTTTCGGGTTCCACTCGAGCTATGGCCTGACGCGCGATGTTACCCGTCCGCCTCCTCAGCGAGTGTCCAATCGATCTCCACTTTCTCCTGCATATTTGTTGGGCGATTGCTTCTTGTTTTGTTTGTTCCCATAGTTTCTTGTTGGGGATTCTTTCCGGCCGGCCATCTGATCTTCAGTATAGAGCCAGCGAAGACAGTTGTTGTTGATAAAGGTCTGCAACAGGCTGTTGGAAATATTCTTTGTGACACACTGGCCAAGTTTCTGATCCATCCGTATAGAAGAACTGACTGACTTGACGTTTGTATTGAAAATCCGAATTTTGTTGTTGATGCAGGCTGAGTGACGAAGATTTCCAGATTGGTTTCAGGTTGATGAATGTGTTTCTCGCCTTCTCGATTCGCGATTTGACATCGTCGTCCGTTCCTCGTGTAGTTGAGACAATGCTCCCTAGATAAGTGAAAGAAGTAACCTCTTTCAAATCCCTCCCGTTGATGGTGATTGGCGGTGAATGTTGCTTCTGTTGTTGTTGTTGGTTGGTTATTTTCATGACCTCCGTCTTGTCTATGTTCACCTGGATTCCTGTCTTTGCTGCTTCTTCGATCAGTTTGTCGGTTTTCGCTTGTAAGTCTTCGATTTCGTGTGACATCAACCACTAGTCATCCGCGAAATCCAGGTCTTCTAGGTTCTCCATGTCGGTCCAGGATATCCCTGT